CCCCAAAACCCCAAAACCCCAAAACCCCAAAACCCCACAAAATTTAGTCAAGATTGAAATTATCATTTAATGTGTTTTTTAGTAAGACGAAGTTAAATCTGGTGAATAAAATAACTCAAAATTACCATTACCTAATGACGACTTCTGTCTCCTATAGGAAAAGATTACAAAGACATGAAATAGTTTGAGTAATTGGAATTGTTAACAAATATGATGCTATTAAAAAAAATAACTTAGAATTGTGAAACAAACAGTCAGTGAAAATTTGTGAAAGTTATAATTTAGTTTAAGAGCTTACAGTTTGCATCAACCCAATATCCTTCTGAGGTTACTAACGGGATTCTGGTTTTGGTTGGCTTATTGTAGAATTTCCTGATTCCATCGATTTTTGCAAATATCTCTAAAATAAGTTAGCAGTTATTAAAGAGTCACAAAATTTTAATGTTAAGAGATACCTCCTTCTTTATTATGCTTCATGAGATCTTCTCTAATACTTCTAAGTTTGCTGATCTGCTCTTCGTGCTTAATATCTAAAACTTTTAGAAGGTCTTCAATATAATTATCCTATATTTTAATGATATTAGATTACTTTAGGCAGTTCTAAATCAAAATTATCCTCTTCTTTCTCGTTCTCCAATATTTCATTTATTAAATTCCATTCCTTCAGAGCCTTATTCTTTCGTCCCACCTTTGCTTTAATCTTCCCAGTTTTTTCTCTCTTTATCTTTGCATAACCCAACTCTATATCTCCATCAATCCATCCACTACCCAACCACACCAATATCTAACCTCGTCTTACCTTTCTCCCTACTCCTTCCACTACCAAATCCTTTTCTTCCCCCTCTCTCCCAACCCCCATCTGCCCCATCCCTTATTCTCTGCCTCTTCCTATCCCTCCCCTTCTTCAGTCTCTTCCCTCCTCTTCTCTTCCGTTCCTTGCCACTCTCCTTTTTGTCCATCCTCCTTTGGTTGTTCTCAGCTACCCCTGCCTGTACTAAAGCACCAGCTGTTCGGGAAGCAGGAGCATGTCTATGAGTAAACTCGTGGCCTATCTTTCTTCAAGCCCATTCCTCAACTACAAATTTCCGCTCAGCTCAGCTCAGCTCAAGCTCTTACCATTCAACTGGAGCGTCTCTGAATTCTGATGTTCTTCTGTAGAATCTGACGGTGAAATTGACTCAGAAGTTTTCTTGAGGGAGTTGGATTCTTGGCTGATTTTGGGAACTGGCTTAGCCATTGGGTGAGAAGATCTTTGAGGGTTGGGGATGTTTGCTTTTAAGAGTGCTCGGCTGATTGGGGCTTTTGTAGCTGGACCAGGAGAGAGTCGTTTTTGTGGGTTTACTTTCTTCATTTATCAACTATTACTAATTTCTACATAAAATTTTTTAACCGGGGTTTTGGGGTTTTGGGGTTTTGGGG